ATGAGAGTATGCCGACTTTACAAATATCACGTGTTTGCACCTTCCTTACCATTTTACTCCAGCACGTGACTGTGCCACGGGGGAGGAGTGTATATGCGTACGCCATCCTCGTTTACATCAGGCATCAGTTCACACACACACACATGCATGCTTCGAGTCCTGCCTGTGGCCTCTTTACTAATCCAGCGGGTGGCTAAGTAGGCTTGCCAATGGAATTGTTCAGACGGAGTTGAACTCCGTCGGTTCCCTACAGTGGCCATGGACTGCGAATTACCTCGCGGTTCCCTCCGTGGCCCTCCATTTGGGATGGCATCTTCCTTATCCTACTAATGTAGCAAGTGGCCGTGTCGCGGGTAAACTGTTTACACGCCACCTTTACGCGCTTCCCTGTGTATGCTTCGAACTCGGCTTGCGCTCTCTTTCCCTTTCTGATCAAACAATTGACTAAGTTAGATATTTTAACTAAAACTGTTTTAGTAAACTAGCTATATGATATCAATCAAGTGGGCCGCAAAGCCAAACCTTGTCTTTAATTCCTTTAACTTATAGTTAGAGTTACGTATACTCAAAGTAACTGTTGCACATTAAGTGCTAGGCTATTCCTATACGTGAAATCAGGCTTGCTGACAATCTTCCAGAACTACATGAGCCATTAGCACAATATTTTTGTGCCAACCTTCCTAAGTGGAGCTTGGCAAGTCTCTAAACTTTGCGGTCGATGCATATTACAACTACACTGGGATCCCTCTTCGGTCAGGTGTTATCACCTTCATGCTTTATTGCGAAAATGGCATGAATGTACTCCAGAACCATTTAACCCAAGTGCAACTTTACATTTCAATGTCTACTCTTATTTTTGCCCTCTAACTGTGATGCATTCCTCTGATAGCATATTCAGGTTACATCCGTTTTGACACCTAAGCCATTCAAGTAACTATGGTTCCCATACTCACTGATATCTCTATGTTCTCGTTCTATTTCATTGTTCATTATTAAGTGGGTAAAAAATCTTTACCGACAGAAACACTCTGACGGCAAGCATGTACTACCAAGCTTGATTTATCGAACCATTAATATCTGGGATGATGGTCAAAATGTCTGTAAGCATGTTCTATGGCAGTAGAAGCAAACCATGGTCCTCGTAGCCTGGAATGCGCTGGTAGTTCCTTGGCACCTGGTTCCTTGCCGGTAGATGCGTGTGAGCTTCCGCTGGGTATACAGCTGGTAGGCATGGCTGCCCAGTCATCCTCCTCGTTCTTCTGACCCCTGTTGAAGTGTTGTTGGTGAAAAATCCCGGTCAAGAGAAAGTTTTGGATCAGGGAATATGGAATCGAACGCCAAGGTGCGTGCTCGACTCCGCCTCCGGTCTTCTTGACACCAGGTCCAGGTGGGGGTAGGAAGGAGAGGGTGCGCTAGATGATACGCAAGTATACTATCACTATAAACTAATTCACGCGCAAGTCACCATGCCTGCTGCACCTTGCTGTGTAGCACACGGTGGACATCGTCAATATCTGAGTTGAACCCACTTGAAGTCCACAAACTTGTCTAGTCTACAGCCAAGAGGCTGGCTAATACAATCCGTGGTACCTACTGATGTAATCCATGTTGTTGTACATCCCGAAAGCAGTGTTTCTGGTACTATGTTTGTCCATTTCCTTGACAGCGGGAATTATGGGATACAACCGACTTAATTTGTCGGAACAAGTGTTACTTTCATTTAAGTTTGAAATTTAAAGCTAAAGACTCAACGAGAATTACGCATTCTCACAAGAAAGTGTCCGTTGCGAATACCTTAGACGGAAGGTTCCCAAAACACTGATTTAAACAATTCTGCATATATGCAAACGATATTTCACCCCAAGTAGTTGGTCGAGTCCTGTTAATTTCATCTAAGTTCGTCTGCATGCATACTTTTTCCCGAGACACCAAAGATGCTTGTAATTCAAACTGAAATATTCTCCATC